GTAGGTACCTTGACTAATGTCACACAGCTAATAAGTATAAAGCCAGAATTTAAATTCAGGTCTGTTTCACCCTAGAGCCACCTTTCCCAACTTTGTACCACTTAACCAGAGGCTGCAGAAACTAAACGTGACTGTGTGGACTGAGATGGTGGGAAGAGAGGCTCAGAAGAAAGTGGGCATGCTCAGCCTTACAGAAGGCATAGACAGACTTCTCACCATAAGGGAGCAAGGAGACTAAACAACAGTTTCTCTTAGGACTGACGCAGCGGAAGGGCAGCAGCATGGAGCTGGGGGCTTGGATGAACTGCCACATAGAGCAAAGCCGCCAACTCAGACATTTCACAGAAGTTCATCTGCAACCACATGATGGAAACGGTTGACGGCCCTGCTCCCTAAATATCCCAGTAAGACCAGGATGGCCTAACCTCACCATGTCTCCTTCAGCTACCTTACACACTATAATTATAATAAAATGTCATCCATGTATAATAGAACAGTTATCCAACAGGAGTTCCAGGTCAATTGCTGCAACCATAGGCAAGATTTAAACTTAGGCCACCACCCCCATTCCTGCTCCCTATTCCCCATGCTCAGAAATCACATGGCACAGTAGCAAACACTTGGACTGTGGAGTTTGATAGACCAAGGGGAGAAGCCCAGCCCTGTCACTTTAAAAACTTTGTATTAATACTCTGGTCATTTCTCTGATGATTTGAGTACTCATGTTTTGCAGTCTTGGTGACATCAATGCATTTAACTGTTAGCTCACTGTTTTTCATATTGGCTCTGCAGGTGCATTGTTGGGGCCTACAGGTCCTCTGTTTTGAGATATCCTAGTTTAGTCTAAGATTTGATGCTGATGCATCATGGTAGTAAATGCTATAATTTGGGAAGTCTCCATCTGGCAGATATCTGTTTTGACCACAATCTCAGAGCAGGGAGTGAACACAGAGTCTGTCCTGAGGTTTGGAGGAGGACTGAGAGCCAGCCTGGAGAACTTGGCCCTCTAGTGGGCTCCAGGGTCCAGAGGCTTCTTTAAGAAATAATGGCCTAGCTTGTCAAGTTTGCATTGGTTTAAGTTCACTTTAGGGACATACCCATGCTATGGGAATATAAATAGAGGTCTATCCTATCATATAAAAATCTGAATACACATATCTACACTAATAAAAGAGAAATGTGCAAATTGGCCATACCTATGTGATGCCCACCAGCCAATCAGGAGTGAGTATGCAAATTTATCCAACAAAGATGGTGGGTTAATTGGCATATGCAGGCATGGATAGGCCGAGCAGGGCAAGAAGACACCTGCTATGAGGAGGAGGGCGAGGGGTGGAGAGAGCTACAGGAATGGTGCTCCTGCCAGAGCAAACACTGAAGGCTCCAGCCAGAGCGAAGACTCTGGCGAGAGCCAAGGCAGTGGCCAGAGTGAAAGTCTGGGTCCTGGTTGCTGGAGGAAAACAGGTGCTGGCAGCCAGGGGAAGGAAGGCCTATTTTGTATGAATCTTTTTGCAAGGGGCCTCTAGTAATCATATAAATTATGTGATGTAAAGTTGGGTACATTTAGTATACGAAGCAAGTATTTCCCACCTATGCAGAACACTTTCAACTTTTCAAAGCATGGTGCATTTAGCAACATATTTGGTCTCCCAATGACGAGGAGCACTTAGAGCAGGAGCTGTAATTCCCAATTGACAGATGAGGAAAAGGAGGGCTGGAGAAATGCCCAAGATCACAGAGGCAGCTAAGGGTGGTGTTGGAACAATAAGCAGCTTTTTGGCTTCCTGTTTTTAACTCCCTGTGCCTGGATATCTCCTCTCAGACCTTTAGCCTCCCTCCAGCCTGTCTTCCAGCAGCTCCTCCAGAGTTGTTTATTTGAGTCCCTTCAAAGTGACCTGTTAGAAGAAGGCTGCTGGCTCTCTTAAAGCCAGAGCATTTAGACAGGTTCAGAAAAAACTGCAAAATAAAAAGTGAAGCTCCTTCCTTTTGTTCAACTTTTCCAAAGCTTCCCTGGTTTCTTACTCTATAATTACACCCTAATCAGAAACACTGTCAAGGAGGGGGTCAGTTCCCTGCAGCCGCAGGCTAATGATGTGGCTGAATTTCTAAAAATTATCATCTGATGAGTTTCATTATTCCTCTGAAGGGGGAAGAAAAGCATACACCACATAGTTGACTTTGTTTCAAACTGAATTAATTAGTAATTTGAAGCCTAATTATCAACTAATCTATTGGAACATGTGAGTCTCTTGTATTTGGATGGTATATGCAATTTGCATCCTATTAGCTAGCAGTTGTAAGAATTTGAGAGCTCATTAGGTCAGAAGAGAAGAATGCAGATCAGAAGAACACAGAAAACCAAGGTACTGACTTTGTGATGTTGTGACCAGGGGGCCACTTGGCAATAGGTGGAGGCTGGCGATGTAATTACCTGGAGTCTTTCAGTGGTTTTGAAAGATGTGTAACTTCTATCTTACCCCTGGAGAGGTGGTTATGTATGCCCCCACCCTTGTTCTTTGTTTTCTCAAGCAGCAGGCTGCCCACACGGTTTGGACTCAGAGGTGCCCTGGAGTAGTGGGAAAGGCACTTGGTGTTGCTTGCTCACTGTGATGCTAGGCCTAGCTCAAGACACACCACCTTGCTGATTCTGTTTTCCTACAAGCAAATGAAACTTAAGTGGAATTGACTTTCATAGTCCTTTCTAGCCCTAAGAATCTTGGATTTGAGGGACGTCAAGGGTTTTATTACAAAGTAAAAAATTTATCCTTGCAAATGTGTTTTTTTTTTTTTTTTAATGGTTGGACTCTTGGCTCCCTAAAAGTCTCTGGACAGCTGCTTTCCATTTAAAATACAAACATTCCTGAGAAAACTAACATATTTAGCCATTAACCACAGGGTAAAAAATTCAGGGGTGGGGAACTTTTTTTTTTTTTTTTTTTTTTTTTTTTTTGCCAAGGGCCATTTGGGTACTTATATCTTTATTCACTGGCCATACAAAATCATCGGATTAAAAATTAGTCTGTTATATTTAGTTAACATTTAATTAATTCACCCCTAAGACCTTCGCAGGGCCAGACCAAATTATTTCCTACGCCTTATATGGCCCACAGGCCAGATGCTCCCCACCCTTGGGACTCTAAATTAATATATTTCAATAGGCCCTTCTGATTTCCAGTCCTGAGCCTGAAATATTGGGACAGCCAAGGCAAGGATCAATCATAGGGGACAGAAGGGTTAGCCAGGGATATAAAAATGGAGAACAGGCCAGAAAGAATGACAACTTTTAGGCAAGATGTTTTGATCTCATTTTTAGCTCCTGCATTTTGACCTTAACATACTATTTACACCCAGATAGTATGCCTTTTTTCTACTAATGACTTTTATTAAAAAAATAAATAGAGTTCAACAATAAAGATTAAAAAAGCACAGAAAAGAAATAGAAAGTATCAATGATTTTTCTCCATAAATATTAAAGTTACTCATAGAAATAACCAACACAAAATAACATGGTTAAAACTGAATGTGCTAGAATTATTATAGATTAAAAGCTAAAAATCACATCTTAATGGAAATACAGAAAATTGCAAAGACAAGCCAGAATAAGAAGCAAAGTTTTGTAGAAAAAGCTACCAATATGGAAAACTGACAATTGTTCAAGTTGTTAAAGGGAAAAATTTGTTATTAATTAAAATATTTTAATCAGTATGAAATTTGTTATTGATTTGATAGGAGATGCAACCACGTTGGAAAACAATTTTGAGTTCCTCAAAATCGTAAACATAGTTACCATATTATAATATAATCCAACAGTTCCATGCCTCGATATATATTCAAAAGATAAATTTGTACACAACTATTTATAGATGCATTATTTCTAATAGTAAAAAAGTGAAACAACTCTAATGTCCATCAACCAATGAATAGACAAAATGTGGTACATATATCCATATAATGGAATATTATTTGGCAATAAAAGGAATAAAGGGGTACATGCTAAGATATGGATGAACCTTGAAAACACTATGCTAAATGACAGAAGCCAGTCACAAAAGACCATGTATTGTGTGATTCCATTTTACATGAAATGTCCAGAATAGGCAAATGATTGAGCTAGAAGGTAGATTAATGGTTGATTAGGGCTGGGAGAATGTGGAATGCAGTGAGAGAGATAGCTACTGGTTATTCCATTTCCTTTTGGGGGGATGAAAAATTTTAAAAATAAGATTGTGTTGATGGTTTCACAATTCTATGAATATATAAAACACCATTAAAATGTACACTTTAAATGAACCAACTGCATGCTATATAAATTATATCGCAACAAAGGACTTGAAAAATGGACTACAGGCAAAATGAAAGTCCATGTAGCTTTGGGGAAAAAAACAGCTGGAAGAATCACACTTTATGATAAAGAAGAAATAGAACTGCCAGAAATAATGGCCACAAAAACAAACAAACTCAACATGGCACATATTATTAGATAAAATTTAATATGTACAAAAAATTATTTGATGAATCAAATCTTCATAGCATGAAAAATAATTGCATCCCATAAAAAGGCCTACAATACCTTAAAAAATAAAACAAATTTTAAAATAAAATATGCCACATAGAAAGGTGAATAAAAATTAAATTGAAATAATATTGTTCATGTTGGAAAACTGTTTCTGGGTAAAGATCCACCTGTATTAGTATAATTATGGTTTAACTATTTATAAGCTATAAAATTACCATTTGTGGTGATTTTGTCTTATTGCCAAGAGGTAGTCACTTAGAGCTAGAATTGAGATGACTGATGAAGCTGCTTTAGAGTTTAGGAGTTTGACAAACAGGGATGTGGAGGGGAAAAGGTAAACTTGATATTGATTGGACTTAGCATTGAATCTCCAAATTGCCCCTTTCACCTTTGCAGTTCCTACCAGCCAGGGACCCTGGAAGAAATCTGGAGGCCCAAATATGGGAACATCATTAGCTGAGCGTCTGCAGTGTGCTCTACTCACCAGATTTGCAAGGATGTAGTGGTAGCCGATGCCATTCTTTTCTAGCTTTATAATCTAAAAAAATGCAAGGGAAGGGGTATTAGTCATATTAGCATTGAAAGCCCCAACAGCAATAATAATTGGAACTAACATTTATTATTTAAGGTGAGCTCTGCCCTATCCTAAGTACTCCAACCACGATATTGCAATCATCCAATGATGGTGGCGATCCTCATTTTACAGATGAGGAAGAGAGGCACAGAGAGGTTAAGTAATAGGTTAAGTAAGAGGTTACCCAGCTATTAAGTGACAGACACAGGCTTTGAAATCAGTTTTGTCTGCCTGCACACCTCCTACTGTGCCCATAACCTGGGCATGTGTGTCCTGACTGGGAATCAAACTGTGACCTCTTGGTTTATGGGCTAATGCTCAGCCATTGAGTGAGCCACACCAGCTGGGCTGCTTCTCTTCTTTCTTAAAACCTTTCCCCTGCATGCAAACTCTCCTGGTGGGAATCATATGCTGTGTTGAATTTCCTGTCACTGTCATAATATCTGCTGCTTGGATGGACTGATGAATGGATGGGTATGTAGATGGGTAAATGGATCAAAACCTCTGTTGTTGATCTTAAATCCTTGCATGAACCATATTCATATACAGTTCCTTCTTTCCATGAATTTTTTGTGTTTTCTAAATCAGCTTGGTACTCAGACATTAATGGGATACTCAACCCAGAAGCTGAAAGGGAATGTCAGAATCATCTGGTCCAAGCCCTCACTGTACAGATGGGAAGTACGGGAAGGAAAGTGATTTGCCCAGCTCCCACAGAGGTCTGGTGGCAATATCAAGACAGGGACCTGACTCTGGTGAGCCTCCAAAGGATGCCTGATTCTGTTTAATTATTAAGAACCGGGGTCCTCAAACATCCCTCTATCCTGAATGTGAAGACTGTTGTGGGCAGGAAAAATATTTGTGGAAAGAACTACCCAGAGGTTTGCTTGGGTAGTTAGACATAACATCCATGAAATAGCTAGTACTGCAGGCCTTGGTTTAGTCCTAACTCTGCCTGTATGTTATATCTTTTTTTTTTTTTTAATAATCAAACTGGGGTTAGCACATCCTTCTCAGTGCCTCTCCCTTTGCACTGTGGCAAGGAGGCATAAAACATATGAGAACTATTTGGGCTTCTCTAACTGAATAAATTTTCAAGGTTATTAAAATCCACATTCAAACATCTACTTAATTGGAGGTATGTGCATAGCATCTCACATAGTTTTTATGTAGGGAATAATTAAATGCTAGTGCATACAATGAGTGCCCTAAAAACAGTGGTTAAATTTTGAAATTCCAGACCACAGAACTCAAATACTATTGGGATGATGGTTTTATTAATAATTCTTCATTACTTTTTCATCTTCTTGTCAAATGATTTGCTGCCCCTTTAACAGAGATACCTTTATCAAAAACCTATTCAGATGCTAATAAACTCAAACCAGCAAATAAAAGATATAAGATATTTCAAAACCCACTACACTCAGGCAATGGATAACTATAATCTCCACAAGATAAAATTACAGTTTGAAACATAGGAAACTAGCAGATAATTGATGACTTGTGGACAATAAAAGTATCAATTTCATATGGTTCAACCTAATACTAACCTTTTTATCCATTTATTCTTCTATGTACCCAGTGGTCTACCTTCCCTCCTCTTCTACATTCCCTTCACAAACATCTAAGTGCTTACTATGGACCAAGCATTGTGCGGGGGATTTTGTGGAAAATGGGGCTTGCCTTCTTGGAAGTCATAGTTTATTGGGAGGAGACCAGTACTAAACAGATGAAGAATGAAATGCTCACAGGGTTATGAACTAAGAAAGTTGTTACAAAGATAATTTATAATTTCACTTGGGAACATCACTGACCTCATTCCTTCAAATTTCATTTCCACTGGATGGCCTTAATTCACAGTCTGTGTCTAGAATGCTGTTTTCTTTCTATCTTATTATTCATAACCTTTATGGCTGAGTTCTAATCTCAACTACTCTGTAAAACCTTCTTTGATTAATGAATCCAATTAGCAAATATTTAGTAAACATGAACTGTATGCCAAGCACTGTGCTATAGACAAGAGAGACAAGGTCCCTGTGCCCTTACTGAGCCAGATGGTAAATATATAAGCAGATAAACTAACAAGATTTCAGTAGTGAGAAGCACTATGAAGACAATATAACAGGGGGATGCAATGGTTGGCCTGCCCCTGGTCTCTCTTACTTCTAACTCATTCTGAACTTAATGACTATTGTATAATTTGGTGTCATATATTGATAAAGCATTATATTCTAATGACCCTGCTCCATGATCATAAACCTTCACTGTTTTCCCACTGTTTACAGAAACTAGAAACTCTTTAGAATGGTTTCCAAGGATAGTCATAATCTTGTGTTCATCCTCCTGTCACTATTTCTCAGTTGTCATTCAGCATCTTCCACAGCTGCTAAGCCATACTATGAACTTCCACCCTGACATGCCCTCTGGGCTTCTCTATGCTCTTTCTTCTCTCTAGCTTAAAGGCTCTTATCCAGTGAATGGCTACCTGTAGATAGCCAGACCCATCTCATATTTGGGATCTTTGAGGCTTCATTTATTCCCTATTCTTTTCATTCACTCAAAAAACATTTATGGAATGCCTATTAGGGCTAAGCACTAGTGCAGTGGTTAGCATACTCATTAGTCAACAGAGCCAAACATTAACAGTAAGACAATTGAAATTTCTTTTGAGAGCCAAAAACTGACTTCTGTGCATGGGCCATGAAGTTTCAGTTGCATTGTACGTACACGCCTGCACATGGTATTTTGTGGAAGAGCCACACTCAAGGGGCCAAAGAACCACATGTGGCTCGAGAGCCACAGTTTGCTGGCCACTGCACTAGTGGATACAGCAGGGGAAAAAGCAAAACAAAACAAAAATCCCTGCCCTCATTGACATATATTCTGGTTTGAGGGCTGGAGACAGAACAGACAACTGATATTCTATTTAGAATTTGGAATCACCATCTCCCTCCTTAGGGAGAATACTTAAATTAGACCAACAATATCTCAGTTGCTGCATGTTTTGATAGTTTAGGATGATGCCAGATATCTGACTGCATGTCAGGAGATGTATATTCTAGACTCATTATTGTAACTAGTTGTCTGAACCCATGGCAAATCATTCACCCAATTTGACCATTAGTCATCCTACCTGGAAATAGTTGAGTGCAGATGATAAATTAAGTATTGTAAGATCCTTTCAGCTATCCGGTCTTACTTTCCATAATAGAAGAATTCAACAATTTTGAAAGTTAACATACTATATAATCTGGAATACACATTCTACAAGTCACATTCTTACAAAATACAAGCTTGTTCTTTGGCAAAGGAGCTAGAAGCCAAAAAGATGCATTTTTAAGAGGTTGAGCCTTGTAGACAGAACAAGCTGGGTTTGAGTTCCTGGTTTTCTTATATGTTAGCTGTGAGCCCGTAGGCAAGCATAATCCTTTGTTTCTTCATTTATAAAAGAGAAGAATTGATAGAAGCTGTTTTGTAGAGTTGGTATGAGGATGAAGTAAGGCTATACATGGAATGGTCTGGCATAGTGTCTGGTATATGGTAAACACTCAGAAAATAGTAGCACTGACTGCAATCTCTACTATGGAATGATATAGGACAAATCATCAGTCTACTAAGAATCCCTAATTATCATTCAGCACTTTCTCCACCTCTGTCTCATCTAATATGCTATTAGCTTTGTAGGAAAGGGGCTTTCATTCCTATTTCACAGATGAGGTTTTATCCCTAAAAAGGGAGTCACTCAAGAAGACAGTACTAGTTGGCAGTATGAATAGCAAAGATAGGCGATGCTTACATATATCATTTTCTGTTCTAAGTGCTTTTCATGTAGAGAGCCTTTTAATGCTCACAGGAGCCTCCAAAGGGAAGCTGTTATTCCTGTACACATTTTACAGATCAGGACCCTGAGATGTAAAACATTAAAAAATTAACTCAATGTCACAGAGCTAGTAAATACTAGAGCTGTGGTTGGAACCTCAGTCACTCTAGCATCTGGGTCTCTGCCCTTAATCATTACCCTAGACTTCATTTAACTGAAATTCAAATTCCTTGACTCCAGACCAGAGAACTCACATCTCAATGAAAACCATTTTTTGCTGGTTCCTGGAGGAGAGGCCAGACCCACACTTTGTAAAAGTGGAACACAGAGTTAATACTTTAAGAATCGCTGACTTTCAAAATTTCTCTCATTCCATTGCTGAGACCTCTGAGTGATTGCTGAGCTGGTGTGTTGAGAGGCTGCAGAAGTCTTAAGGGCCATTACTATGTTTTGTCATGTCATCATGTACCTAAAACTGCCATCTTTTATTACACAGCATAGTTCAAAAAAGATTGCAAAATATACTTCCCTACAAGCAAATCTGAATGCACACATGTAATTAAAAAAGACAGTGACCTACACAAAGACCTGCTCCTTCTATGATGGGCACATGCTTTAGTTCTGAGAACTGGAAGAACCATGGCTTGGAGACCTGGCTGAAAACTTTTGAGGTTACAGTGCCCTTTCACAGAATGTACAATCAATTGACTTTTCAGACACAGGAGAGTGTTCAAGGAAACAGTGAAAAGGAGGTGTTTGCCAGCTGCCTCCTGAGACTCTTAAAATAGGTCAGTGGGCCAAATGAATGAGATGCCAAGTGTTGGCCAGTGAGTGACAGAACCCAGAGTTGAATTCAGGAACCTGGCTCTACAGGCTGCGTTTCTAAATGTGATAGCCCTTTGCAAACACTAAATTGCAATGTAATTTTCTTTTTAAAAACAAAGGGAAACACTGGAAGTCCGTTTTTGCTCAGCTGATCTGAGAACCATTTGAAGCCCTATGTCAAGGCTCCTGTTGTTTGTGCTATTTCATAAAATTTCACAATTAAAATTTATGAATTACAGAATGGGAGAAGAGAGGCATCTGGACTTATCTAGTTGAGAACTCTCTTTGTAATACCCTAGGCAAAAGGTCACTGAGGTCCCTCTTGAACCCCCTCCCACACCTACCCTGACCCTTTGCAGTGTTCACTACCTGGCCCAAAATAGCATTGAGGCGTTCCGATTCACAGTCCACTACCACCAGCCTCTCCTTTTTCTTCTCCAGATCCTGAAAGAGCATCCGGTATCCCTCTTCTGTTGTTGTCAAAATGTTGACTGCTGTCACCTGCCAGTTCTTCTCAGCAGCTGTGTCCAGGACTTTCTGCAGGACGGACAAACCTGGAGGTCGGGTGAGTAAGACAGAAAAGTGGCAATTAGGATACTCAGGCATTTAGTACCGCTTATCAAATGTGCCAGCCTGCTATCTAAACAGCACCTAATAACTGTCAATCACATTCATGAAAGTTCAGTATATCTCAGTACCTAATACTTTGCCTCTCACATAGTCAGTATTCAATGTGTACTGAATTCAACTATTGCCTTCTAATTTGTAACTAAATGATAGAAGAGCCCATTACTCAATGCTGCTTTGTTTCATCTTTGAGACATAGATGGTGTATTACTTTCCTACTGCTTCAACAACAACTCATCACAAACTTAATGCTTAAAATGACACACATTTATCAACTCATACTACTTGAGGTCCGATGTTTGAAATATATCTTCCTGGACTAAAATCAAGGTATCGAGGGGGCTGTGTTGCTTTCTAGAGATTGTAGTGGAGAAAATTTTCTTGGCTTTTCAGGAACTAGAGAATGCCTGCATTTCTTGGCTTATGACCCCTTCTGTCTTCTAAACCAGCAGTGACTGGTCAAATCTTTTTTACATCACACTCTGACTCTTTTCTGCCTCCAACTTCCACATTTAAGGACCCTTGTGATTGCATTGGGCCCAGACAAATAATCAAGGATAATCCCTCTATTTTAAGGTCAGTTGATTAGCAAATGTAATCCCATCAGTAAACTTAATACTTTTGCCATTTAAAAAAACACATTCTCAGGTTCCAGGAATTAGGAAATGGCATGTTTGGAAGGGTGGTGAAGGTTGTTATTCTATCTGTGTCAGATGGTATTTCTCTCTTGCATTATTAATCAATCTTTTGCACATATATTATTTCCGTCTCCCAGTAATACTGGTAATCCCTTCCCCAGTGACCATTATTGTGCCTGGCCTCAGGCATCATTTTTAGATTAATAGTGTTATGCCTTCCTATCTTTGTTTCTTTTTTTAGTACAAGTTGTTTGGTATGGTGCTAAAAGATTACTATGTGTCTGGCATTGTTTTTCCAGCTTTCCTGCCTCCAATTCATTTAATCCTGAGAGGTAGTTACCATTATTATCCCTGTTTCACAAATGTGGAAATTGAGTTTTAGAGAAATTTAGTCCTTTGACCAAGGTCACACAGTTAGCAAATGGCAGAGAACCAAGGTCATAGTTCTGAGATAGAGGAAGCCCTTGTAAGAGCGTGGGTGCTTCGGCTGACCCCACAAATGATCCTTTGTAATTAAAGTTAAAATTTTATGGCTTTGTCACTTTCATGTTTCAAGTTTTACCACGTTGAAAAGCTGTACTGAAATAGCCCTTATGCAGGTGTTCCTCACAATGGCTGGTGTCTGAGAGAAAAATCATTAAACTAAGAAGAGGGAAGAAAAACCTAAGAAAATAGAGTGCTTCTGGTTCTCATCTGAATAATGCCTGCCTAACTCTTCTTGAAAAATCATTTTAAAAGCCCAAATGTCTTCTAAGACTCCCTACAGGCAACCTCCTACAAAATATCTCTTTGGCTCAAGAAAAGAACTCTGTCTCAGTTTCCAGATTTTGCATGATCTGCTTATTTATGTACACCAATATTAACTAAATTTTTATATGACTATTGAATATACAAGGGGAAGGTAAGATAGTACTATATACTGAAGTTAGAAAAAAGAGCAGAGTTCACACTTAAGGATCAGGAACTAGATAAAGTGGTGTTTGAGCAGGTTATAAAAGAGTGGAAGGATTGCTTATGTATATTTGAGAAGGGAATTACATTCCAGAAAGTGGGAACAGAATGAGTAAAGAAGCAGAGAATAAAACAGTATAGCAAACATTAGGAGAATGTGATGTAAAATTCAAAATTTATGTGGAGACACATTAGTAAGATCTGGGAGGGTGGATAATGATGATGATGGTGATGACCACAGCAGCTAATTTATATAGAGGACTTTGAGCATCTCTTATGTTCCAGACACTGACAAGCACTATGTAGTCATTTTCTCATTCAATCACCACAACTGTATGAGGTAGATATTGGTTTTATCTTCATTACAGAGATGAGGAAATGAAGGCATAGGTAATTTTATTCCCATTACATGAATGGTTAAACTGAGGCAGAGTGCTTGCCCAAATCAAACAACTGGAGAGAAGAGAACATTGAATTCAATTCAGGTCTGTCTGACTCCAGTGTTTATGCTCCTAACAACCTCGCTGGGAGCCATAAGCCATTTAGTTGAGGTCCTTGGTCTTTAAGTGTGGACTCAGGAGCCATGGAAGCTGGTGAGCTGTAGAGAAACAAGGTGCTTTAAGGGGATTACTCTCTCAAAGGCTGTGTTTTCACACTACGAGTTAGAGATTAGCCACTGAAAAATCAGTCCATAGAAATAAAACATTTCTGAATCATTTCCCCGTGCTTTTCGAGGAGGCAAGAGGCATCATTTTTCTTCCTGCTGGTAGTTTTCTCTCCAGCTTTCAACAGTTTGCCTCTCCTAGTCCCTGGCTTACCCCGGTCAGCATCATAAATGTAGACAAATTTCTGCCACTTGTAATGGTCGATGATACTGATGAGGGCATCCTGCAGTTCGGGGCGCAGCTGAAGAACAAATTGGTTGGATGTATCAACAGGAAAGCTTGGTGTAATAAAGCAGACATGAAGGGCCCCGCAGAAGGAGGTCAGCATGTTGACGGTCCTCCGTTCATAAAACCCAAAGATGGCATAGACTCCTTTGGAGAACTGGGAACAGACTAGAAGAGAAGAGAAAGATTAATGGATAGATGTTACAAACAAGCTTTTAGGTGGCTCCAAAACAAACCTATCCACTAGTCCATTCATACAACTCATCACCTAGCCATCCATCATCTAGCCTGTTCAACCAACCAATCTGTCCATTCATCCTTTCAATCTATCAATTTATCTAACTATGCACCCAAACACCTATCTATCTAATTCAATGTTTTTTTAAGTGCCAGTTCTATGCCAGATGTTGTCATGGGTATTAGCTATAAATGCATGCAAAGTATTTTCATGTGTTCCCTCATTTCATGTCTTTAACAACCTTCTTGAGATAGGAAAGGGATGGCTGGTCATCTTTTAAGAAGAAAACGAGGGCTCAGAAACGTAATGCACACCCAAGACATGTGATATCTTGACCTCAATCCAGTGATTTTTTTCATTACTCTGCCCATCACTTTAAGGCAAGGGTAAAAAGATTCTACAGGAAGAAAGAGGTCTGCCAGCTTGCTGCTGATTCATGTTTAAGGTTTTCCCAGTCTACTCTTGGCTTTTGGTATTCATTTCTCTGCTGATATTCATTTTGTATTTGTACACCCTGCTAGCTGATTTTCCAGGCCCCCTTGTGTATCAGCCATAGTAATAGTTTATCTGTGTGTGTGAACATCCCCACAGGAGCCATTCCGTAAGATCTCAGTGCAGTTACCAATTCTGGTTTGTGTTGGTGACAGTGCTGGTTAGAATACAATACAAAAAAAGAGGTCATAAGGCCAAATTCCAGGTCAGTGGGCGACTGAGCTTTATTTATTTATTTTTGCAAATAGAAGTTGAATTTATTAAAATAAACATTTTTTATGATTAATAAGCTCACTAGAAAATAAGAAACACTGAAAGCAAATATTACACATTTAAGTAATATGGAGCTAAAATTGGCGTTAAGAGCCACAGAGAATAAGCAAACATGGAAGGCAGGGTTGACCAATAGAAAAATGCCAATATCAATTCTGAGATTGAGAAATTCAGCTTTGGGTTGCTGGTAAAGTCGAAGAGCTGATTCTTAGATGTCTATATTAAGTTAAGCCCTTCCAGGAAACTAATTTACAGATTCATTTTTTTAACCAAATATATGTTTGTTCTGATTTTTTTTATTTCTTCTTTGTAAATTAAATTTATTGAGTAACATTGGTTAATACCATTATATACTTTTCACATGCACAGCATTATAATTTGACACCTGTGTATTGTGTGCTCTCCACTAGAAATCTAGTTTTCTTCTATCACCATATATTTGACCCCTTTACCCGTTTTGCCCTCCCACCACTCTCTTTCCCTTTTGATAATCATCATCCTGTTGTTAAACTTTATTTTAATATATGGTATTGGATGAGGGTTCATAGTTTTTACCTAGTCAGGTGACCACTCCCAATGCCATCTTTTATATCTAAAAATTACCCTCCCATTATGAATGGTGAATAAGATGAGTCTTTCTCATCAAATATTAATTACTCTAATTAATCTTTAGAGTAATTTTTAAAATTTTTCACATATATTAGCTTATTGAGTCCTCATCATGACCTTGTTATTATCGTTTTTTTTAAAGATGAAAAGTTAATGTTCTTAGATCCTTCGTTCTCTTAACACATTACCTGTTTGTATATTTACCACATTGCTGTGGATATGAGCCTCAAATATTGCTCCGTAAGAATTTTTCAAATATGTTCCATGAAACCTTAATCCCACAAATGCACTTTAACAACAAAAAAGGGTTTCTTTTTTCAAATAAATTTTAGAAATTATACACACCTTATCCTCATCTTGGATGTTCACATCCACACATTAACTATGTAACCCAAATTTTGTCAAATATATTTTCCCTAGGACTTTTAACATGTTTTTAAAGAACATTTTGGGTCATGTTGCACTAAAGAATGAAATTAATCACTGGCACCCAGTTATCTCCTATGAGTCTCAGTTCAAAGTCAGTTGCAACTGAACCACACAAGTCATCTGTCCAACCTCCACTGAAACCAGCATGCCACCTACAGGACACCTGGCAGGTGGTCATTAACATCTGCTTGCATACTTCCAATCCTGGTTATTCACTTCCTGTGAAGGTGCTTAGGCCATGGACTGACCACTGTTTGAGACCAGAACCTCATTGAATGCCTGCTCTTGATCCACCCCACAGCCTGCCTGATAGCTGAAGGTAGTCCTCTTTATGGCATTTTGTTCTTATCAGTGAAATCTATTCTCCATCCAGAAGCCAGAAGGATCTTTGTAATTAAACAAAACAAAACACATTGCTTCCCTTCCTTATACAAAATTTCTCAAAAGTATTGAGGTTTTGCATTTTACACAGGACAACAACCCAAGCATGTGAAGCATGTGTCCATGACACAGAGTCTAAATGACCTGCCCTTCTGACCCCTCCTATCTCACAGCACACCTTAATTTATGCTCTAGCTACTCTGGCCTTCATTCTGCTCCTTAGGGCTCTGTGCTCATTCTGCACCAGAGACTACAGTGATGTTGCCATCCTCTACCTGCAATGCTCTTTCCTTATCTCTTTGCAAGCATCACTCCTTTTCAGCAACTGTTATCTCAGCTCAAATTTCACTTCCTAAAACAGGCTTCCCTTATCCTAAATGGTAACTTTCCCCTCCCCTTAAACCTACCTCCCAGTGAGTATCACATGTCTTCTTTCTCATATTTTACAATAATTATTATTTTAAATCATTTTCTTTACTTGCATATACCTGTGGCTGCTTGGGTCAATATTAATTTCCCCAAAGCAAGGATAGTGCCTGGGGCATGATAAGTGCTTAATAAATTTGATGAATGAATGAATGCTGAGTGCTTGATGAGAGCGTCACATAACTCAAAATAAGGAATAAGGAGGAGCTGGGCCCCAAACAGAGGACTGTTGGGTCACCTTGGACTTCCTTCCTCTGAGGAAGCTGTTTATCCTTCAACATTTATACTATTTTCTCTTTCACCCTAATAAGGACATATCTGCTCATAGCAGACAATAGGCACTGTCATTAAATGTCTATTATAATTGCCAGAATCAAGATTTCCATAAATATGGATTTCTCTACCAGCAAGCATCCATCATATATTATTCTGCCCATGTTAAATATAGATTTGTCAAAAAGCACAATCCATCTTACTGGGAGAAGTGAACATAGGAAGCACATAAACCCTGTTAAAATATTATAATATGTTCTCCACGGTATTTTAGGTGTCTTCTCCCCTTGCTACAATCAGATATTATCCTGTGGGTTAGAAATCATATATTCCCGCTCTATTCCCTCATGTCACCTACTTGGTTTCACATCTTTAGTTGGGCCTCTGGGGGCATTATGGCTGGTACTTCTTTTGAGAACTTTAGAAGGAGAGGAAGAAAGGATGAGATGGGTGGCAGAAATAGAAGAGAATAGATGTGGTAAAATCTTTGGCACATAGAGACTAGGATTTTCTCCTCTCAAATTATCTCCCTATTTTTCCTTTTTACAAATCTCTCTTTCCTTAAACTGTTCTGTATTCATCCTCTAAGGCTAAATGGGTACATTTTAGTACCCCTCCCTTAAAGAGCATGGCTGGGAGTAGCCTGGCTTGGATTAATTTCATTCTGGTCCCCAGAATTGCTCAGTGTCTGATGACCTTCATTTCATGAGCAGGAGAGAGAGAGGGAGGGAGGGAGGGAGATAGGAAGCAGAGAGAGAAAGAGAGAGAGAGAGAGAGAGAGAGAGAGACACTCTGTAGGCCCAAGGCTTTGGGAGATTGCAGTCATTGATTAAAAGTTGAAAATGTAATTGATAGTTGCAAGTCATTTCTTTGAATCTGTCACAATAAGTATTCAATGTGAGGAGATAGCAGGGTCTTGCAGGAAAAGTACTAGATTAGATGCCAGCAGGTCTGGAGGTTGCTCTTTTTGGTTTTCTCACACATAGCACAATACTTATGTGACCTGGGCCTCGGTGATCCTGTACGTAAAAAGATGGTTTGGATGCCATAATATTTAATGTCTCTTCAGGCTCTAACATTCTTGATTTTAGCCTAATTAATTGAAAAATATTTAGTGATTGACAGCAATTTAGTTATTTGCTGGTCAAACAGAGCAGCTTCTACTGCTCATTTTCAAACTCAGAAATCAGAGGAAGACTGTGAGTTCTTTGATTCAACTATAACAATCTCAGCACTAAATATAAGTGTATTCGAAGTCTTGAGTTTCATTGAAGATACAGTCTTTAACCCACTGTGTGAGTTAGTTACCTAGCAGACAGTAGATAAGAAGCGGCAAATCAGAAAGGGGGCTAGAGGTGGAAACTGTATTGTTAGATACAACAAGCAGGAGGGAAGAAATGGGAGCGTTCAAAGGCTGCATCGAAACTCTGCACAGACTCACACTGATGCTGAGTCAGAGCAGACTAGCCTGAGCCTGGTACCCTCCATTTAAGATCACAGTGCTGCATAGAATGCCTCCGAGAGTAATAATTAAAAGCTGACATTTGAGCACTTACCCAGTGCCAAGAACATTTCCTCGCATTAACTCCTTTCATCCTATGAGGTAGGTTACAAATTGGGAAAGTGAAGCCTAAGAGTAGGGCAAGGCAAAGCCAAGATCTGAACTCCACAGTCTGACTACAGGCTGGAGCTCTTAACCTCTATGCTGTGCCATCCCTCTCCCTACACAGTGTTGGAAAGTAAAATCTTGGCACATTGGTCAGCTTCGGTTTCTAGAAAATCTCATGGAGCACACTAACTTCTCCTAATGCCAGATAAAGAAGCGTTACTGCATTAGGGTCTGTGGATACTAAAACAGAACAAAACTGAGTGTTGTGCTCGATGCAGACCCTGGGAATCATGAAGGGAACATATACCACATCCGTTCTTCTATTGGCCCATCCATCTGTTTATCCACCCATCCATTCATCCATCACATGACATCCAACATCTACCACTCCTTAGGGAGTAAAGATGCAATGGTAGCCTATTGTGGCTCAGTGGTTGA